AGGAAAGAGAGAGAGAGAGAGAGAGAGAGAGAGAGAGAGAGAGAGAGAGAGTTGTGGTGATGATAGCGTAAAACTTTTATACATATTCCGAAAAACGCATATCTGATAGACAAATATGATATGAGTCTCTAAAAAATGCTTTTATTTCTTCTTTTAATATTGCTTTTGTGTAAAGTTTGAAATACTATGTATAAACTGATTACTTTCAAACTTTACATGAAAGCAATATTTAAAGAAGAAATAAAAGCATTTTTTCAGAGACTCATCTCATTTTGGTCTATCAGATACAATATATTTTTAAGAATAATAAATCAGGTTTTTTCACATTATTATACGAAATGCCAACACATATATGACTAATGCATATATGGTTTCAAACAAATGATGGCATTGTTTAGTAAAATAAGAGAAAAGTCTGAAAAGCAATAGAAGTAAAGAATAGACACTATGTGTAGACAATGGCTATGTTTGCAGGGCTTTAGCGCACAATTGTTTCACACAATTCTCATAGAAATTATTGATATTAATGAATACACTTTCATATTCTCTCTCTCTCTCTCTCTCTCTCTCTCTCTCTCACACACACACACACACACACACACACACACACACACACACAATACAAACAAAAGTTTTAAAACAATATTAAAATACCATATTTGAGAAAAGGATTATAGAATTAAAGTAAATAGGATTGAATGCGGAAACCATTCAAATATAACAGGATTTGCGTCTAAATATCAGGTATTTTCCAAAATAACTTTAGAAATACACTTCATTTGGTTATCATTTTCATTATAAAATATAACAAACTTTAAAATGCAAGCATTATATTTGAGTTTTATAATTTATTTGCAATTATCAATGTATAAATGTTTTGATAAAAATATGATTATTGGTTTGTAATACATATGTTATTTACTCAAATGTATTAATTGTAGGGTGGATTCCCTTACAGTGGATGTATAATACATGTGTATTATTCTATGTATTATACATGTAGAATACATGACCCCTTTTACCATACATACATGAAATCCCGCCCCTATTGAGAAACTGTCAAATTTCTAATTATTTTCAATATTATTCAAATATAAATATTGTAAATATTGTTTGAAAATCAAAATTATTATTTTAATTAATTTTATTTGATTA